CAGATATTTTTCCAATTTTGCCAACACCATTTGTTAAAAAGGCTGTCGTTTCCCCACTTCACTGATTTCATCTCCTTGTCAAAAATCAGTTGACCATCAGAGATACGTTTTATAAGGCACGTCTCGTTTTAATTCTGTGACATACACTTTATAGACAAATTAGTTGAAACAAATAGTTTTCACAAAGAATCAGAGTAAAGATCTCTATTGTTTAAAATAGTTTTCTTCCAGGCCCCTGACACTCCTTTCACCTACTTCCTGTCCCTTAACAGTTCTGCTTCTCCTTTTAGGATGCATAATACTCTTTTTATGGATCATGAAATTAGATCTAAATGACTGTGAAAGATTCCTTTGACCAGAGTCAACATTTCTTCATTGTTCATTTAGATTGTACCACTTGGCCTTAGTTTTTCTTTGAAATAAACAAATGATAGATATTTCTTTTTTTGTTTTGTTTCCCCATTATTGTTCTTTTTATTTCAATTGGTTTGGTTGTGACATTATTTCATGTCTTTTTTAATTTTTAAAATTGTTTTATTATTAATTTTAATGAAAATTTACAGAGACTTTGGATTTCCATTCATTCATTGTTGCACTGCCCACCCCTCTACCCTAGTTTGCTCTTCTCTTTGAAAAGTAAAAGTCCTTCATACAAATATTTCTTTTTATGACCCTCTTCTATTCCTTGTAGTTGGGTGAGCCATTCCAATTTCTGCCATGATGTGGTCTCAGAGAAAGAGAAGGAGTTGAGAAAAGGTCCTTAGCTTTTTTTTTTAAAGGAGATGATGTTTTAATATGTGTTGTTTCTTCTGCACTTAGAGCTACCCAGCAACCACACAGCCCAGCTCCCCCTTAACAAGATGGTAATAGCTCTTCTCTCTTGGCAATATGAACCCATTTATGCAACAACAAGATGGGAAGCTGGATCTCAGCTGCAGGCGAATTTGGTTGATGACTGTATGCCGTTTGTGGTGTTTCAACGTGGACGTGGAAGGGTTGGGTCTGGAACCTTACACCGATCAATCTTTATGTCTCTTGCCTCCTTTCAGTAGCAAGAACTCCACCTTCTTCAGTGATGAGGAAAGATGCTCTCTGTGGGTGCTGGAACGCAACAGGAGAGAAGAATGCTCCAGCTTCCTCCACATGCTGGCTCACACTGACATAACGTCTGTCTACAGGCTGAGTGAGTGCTTGCTCCCGTGACCCTTTTGAAAGCCCTGGCTCCTCAAGGTCAAGAAGAGGGTCTCAAAACAGGAACGGAGGAGAAATCTCTCATTTGTAACCTTATTCATGAATTTGGGACTTTCATCCTAGTCACTTGATGATCCTAGTAATTTTTTATTGGCAGCATTTTTACTTTGGCTCTTAGATAATTCTGTGGTTGAAATAAACTGCCTACAAATGATAAAATCTAGTGATGCCAATTCAGTTGTATTGTATGTTGGATAGTTGCTCCCATCCTCAACAAGAAAAAGAACTTCCTGAATCAAGATGAAGAATCTCTTCTTCCAGGGCTAATGTAGGTTTAGGACTCCCTCACTTACTTTGGGCTCGTGGCCAGGAGAGATTGATCCTTGGAGATGGACATCATGCTTGAAAGGGTGAATGGACAGCCAGGAGAGGGAGACCCAGATTAGCTGGATTGATACAGTAACTGGGGCTACGGGGGGTTGGTGTGTCAGAGTTAGTGAGACTGGCTCAGGACAGGGAAGGGTTCAGAGCTGCTGTACATAGGGTTGTTTTACATCACAAGTGACTCAATGGCACATCAAAACAATAACATACTGTGATAGGTTTGGAAGCAGGAGTGGCATCCACTTCTTAAATAACATGCCTCTGGAAACTATGAACTTTGATAAATGTTGATAGTTGTAGAGGGGCTTTAGGTCTTTTGTTCATAGGGTCCAAGGCAATCAATAACAACAACAACAACAACAACAACAACAACTGGAAAAGGTAGAGTTGTTCAAAGAGTCCTAAGAGATGATTTGTCCTCTCATTTTGAAAATGGGAAAATTGGGACAGTGAGGACCAAGTGAATTAGGGACTGAGTCAGGATAAGAACTGAACTCTCCTTCACGTTATTCAGAATAGTTTCCATTTCACCACACTTCCACCAACATACAAAATGCCACTGACTTGTCAGGTGTGTTAGTTTGGTTTCTCTCTGACAGTAATTTATGCTGCTCCTGAGACTTATTAATAACCCCTCTGGCACCCACCTTCTCCCCACAGCCTGTTCTATGGTCTCCCTTTCCTCATAAATGCTTCTCTTGCGATCTTATTTAGTCCTACAACTTTTTTGCCAGTTATTTTCTGCTATGGGTCACAAATCTATATTAGCAAATACCATTAACTCAAGACATCTAAATCTGCACTCAAGACTGTCCCTTCCTGCTAATTCATCCTGTTATGTTATGAAACAAAATCAGGCACCTCTGAGGCCTCCTGGCTTCTTTTTTCAGTACTCCCTTCTGGCTACTCAGCCTCCTCCACCTTGCAAAGCCCAGCACGCAGTAGATTGCCACCCACATCACTATTTGTGGTGGGAGGGTGATGAGTGAATGGAGGAAGGGAGAAGAAAGTTATACACACTGTCGTCTGTAGAGAGTTGCACTGCTAACCCAAAGTGGTGCCTCTGACAGTTTGAGTCCAACAGTGGCTGTACTGAGGAATGATGGACATTCCACTCTCATGTGATTTACAGCCTTTGAAAATCCTCTGGAGGGTCGTCAGCTATTCATTGATTCAGACTTGATAGCAATGCATTTTGATGTATTGTTGGGGTTCCCCTGCTCCAATACTCGCATCCCTTGACATAAAGCTTGAGTTGTTCAGTTTTAATTTTGGTTCATTTCTTCTTCAGTTTATACCTGTAGAGTGAGTTAAAACAAGATGAAGAAGAGAATTCTACCCAGTTCCTTAGAGATGAGTGGTGGGGCTATGCATGGAGATGTAGGTGTGGTGTCGCGCATTCTGACGTAACACTAAGTCTGTTCTTCATCTCTATCTAGGTGGCTTTGAATCCATCCAGAATCTTCCAAAGGATTTGAGTGGTGAGTAAAGTGCTGAACCTGACCTCCAGTCCTTCAGTACAGCACTCTTACCCTCTTGCTAAGAACTGGCCATCTTGGTTACAAGTGCTTAGGGTTGCTCAACTCTGCCTGTCCCTTACAGCATCCCAGCCTGAAGGGTTCAAGGAGGCCAGGCCTGGTGGAGCCTGGGAGGAGCATCAGGCCGCAGGCTCCAGACACTCCAGCAGCTCTGAGGACTCCAGTCCAGAGGAGGAGCTCCTCTCAGCTGCCTCTGACAGCTATCACCTGCCAGAGCCTGATGACCTCGACGACCCGGAACTGTTTATGGACCTAACCGCTGATCAAGAGGAACAGGAAGCTGAAGACTTTGCCCCCATATTGGCCTTTCTGGATCATAAGGGTTACAATGACCACTTTAAGAGTCTCTATGATTTTTCCTTCTCTTTCCTCACAACTTCCTTTTACAGCTTCTCTGAGGAAGATGAGCTAATGGCTTATCTGGAAGCTTCAAGGAAGTGGGCCAAGCGGGGCCACATGACCTGGGCCCATGTCCGCATCTGCTTCCTCCTGGGTCGGCTAAGCATCAGAAGAGTCAAACTCTCTCAGGCCAGGGTATACTTTGAGGAGGCCGTTCGCGTCCTCAGTGGGGCCTTTGATGACTTGCCCTTAGTAGCTGCTCTGTACATCAACTTGGCTGCTATCTACCTGAGGCAGAGACTGAGGTCGAAGAATTCAAACTTGCTGGAGAAGTCAGGCACCCTGATGGCCTGCCTGCCTGACCATGAATATACTGCAAAGATCGAACTCGATGTGGTGGTCTACGTGCTGCGCCAGGGGATTGTGGCAGGCAGCCATCCCCTGGAGGCCCGGGCCTGCTTCCTGGCCATTCGGCTGCTCCTAAAACTGGGCCGCCATGAGGAGGTCCTACCCTTTGCTGAGCGTCTAAAGCTCCTCTCCACACACCCTCCCGCCTCAGATGCTGTGACCAACATCCTGAGTTTTCTGTACGACAAGAAGTATCTCCCACATCTTGCAGTGGCCTCTGTTCAGCAACGTGGTGTGCAAGGTGGCCCAGAGATGCGGGTTCCGGTTTGGCAGGCCCACTTGGTTCTGCAGAATTCCACCAAGCTCCTGTGTGCTCCCTCCCAGAGCTGGGATGAAGTTCCCGCCCTGGCCTGCCCAACGCTCAGCCACGCACTGGCCGCCTGTGAGGAGCGGGCAGACCAGGGCACCCAGAGGGTCTTATGTCTCATCCTGTCCAAAATGTACCTCCAACACAGGTCTCCCGATGGTGCTATCTACTACCTGAGCCAAGCCTTGGCCCTTGGGCAGCTGCTGAGCGAGCTTGAAGCCTTTGAGTCGTCCCTCTGCCTGGCGTGGGCCTATCTCGTAGCCAGCCAGCCGAAGAAGGCTTTGAACATCATTGAGCCACTCTTATCCTCACTGAAAGACACAGACAATATCACCCAGAAGGGAGTGGTCCATAACCTCATGGGCCTGGCACTTCACTGTGAAGGCCGGGTGACTAGGGCAAGTAAGAGCTATTTCCGGGCCTTGAACAGAGCCCGGGAAATGGGGAATATACGGAACCAAGCGGTGACTCTAGCCAATCTCGGCCACCTGACCCTTCGGTCCTGGACTCAGCAGCCAGCCAGGAATTACCTTCTGCAGGCTGCTCGACTCTATTCCGAACTCCCAACCAACAAGGAGACAGACATGGAACTGGTGCAGGTACTGCTCTGGCTGGCCCAAGTCCTGGTGTGTGGACGCCAGTTGGCCAGTGGGTGCCTGTGTTATGAAATGGCATTGCTGTTTGGCTTAATGCATCGACACCTAAAGAGTGAGTATGTCCCGTGCTGTTGGGAAGAGCTAACGCAGCATGTTAGAGCACATTTCCCCATGTCCTGTCTCAAGTCATCTCATTCATCTTCCTGCTTTATGTTCAGGTCAGCTTCAGGTCACCAAATCCCTCTGCCATTTCTACAGCTCTGAGTCCCCAAATCCCGAAGCATGCATCACCTACCATGAGCACTGGCTGGCCCTGGCTCAGCAACTCAGGGACCGGGACATGGAGGGCAGGCTGCTGGAGTCTTTGGGACAGCTCTACAGGAACTTCAACACGCCCAGGTGAGTCAGGCGTAAAGGCAGTCCGAGGAGCATCTTCCCTCCTTTAACAAGTACAATGCTCTCTATCTTGGCATGCCATGCTCAAATGCATAAGGCAGAGTGAGTTCTGGAGTCACTAAAGGCCTCAAATCCAGGATCATCACCCATTAGCTACTTAGTTTCTCAATAGTCAAAGAAGGGCAATTACTATGTCTTAGTTAACCTTCTGCTGTTACAGTACAAATAATGTGAATGGACTATTTAAATGATTAAAGAATTTTATTTTCTCGTGTTCTGGAGGCTAAAAATCCAAGGTAGGATCTTGGTTATATAGACCCCCTCTCACCATAGCTCTGGGTGTTCTTTGGTTTCATGGTGCTTCTTGCCTTGTAAGAATCATTATATGGTGTTGATCTTTTCACATGTGTCCCTATGTCTATTATGACTGTTTATAACTCAGAAGTGATTTGATAAAGGATCCACCCTACACTGGTTTAGCATTATTTTCATAAAAAATAAGAAAACTCTTATTTCCAAATAGGATCACATTGCAGATATTGTTCTTGTGGTGGTGGTGGTAGTGTACCCTCGAGTCGGAACCAACCTGTAGCTGACCCTTCAGCAGGTTTTCACACAATTTAATCACAAGGAAACGAAATTGCCCATTCTTTTCCTGTGGAGCAGCTGGTGGATTTGAACCCTGTGCCTTTGAGATTGCAGCACAATTTCTTACCATTAGGCCACCACATAGAAGGACTAAAAATGCAACATGTATTTGGGAGGAGAATAGGGGATACAGTTCAATCCATGATGAATGACTTCTAGATTATACGTGTTGTTTTGAGGAATACATGACTCTATCCCCAAGACATCAAGGAAAGTGTCTTGATGTACTGGAGAATGTATGTGGAAAAGACTGAGTCACACCAACTATGATACTATTGTTTCTGTGTTTCCCTAACAATCCACCATCAGAGTTCATGGTTCAGAGCTGTTAGACCTAGAAGGAGCAATGCACCCTCAGCGTGTATGTCTTCGTTATCTTAGGACAGTCAATCAGTATTAGAGAAAGGACATGAACTAATACTTTCACAGTAAGAAAATATAAAAGATGTTGGTTTTAGGGTTTTAATTACGCCACCACAGGTATTTCACAGCTCAAGGAGATATCCTAGGTTTTATGCTTGACTTTTCAGGACTATCTTAAAGATTTTTTTTCTTTGCAAAAATATGATAGCACATTGGTTAGAGCGTTTGGCTGCTAACCAAAAGAATGACAGTTCAAACCCACTAATCGTTCTTTACGAGAAAGATCTGCCAATGTGTCCCTAGAAAGATGAAAGCACAGAAACCCTATGGGGCTGTTACACTCTGTCCTGTAGGGCCACCAGTTAGTTGGAATCAATCCAACTTTAATGGGTATATCAAGACTTGACTCTTTCACCCAAAAGCATTGCTTAACCCTTTAGTATTAAATTACTCTCTTGCCATTCATTGTTTTTCTCTTCTTTGTTCATTGGTCTATTTCTAGGCAATCTTCACTTGTCAGTAGCATGGCTGACAGTTCTGTTCTCCAAAGCACATAGGCAGGCAATCCTGACTCTCAGTGACCCTACAGAACAGAGCAGTTCTACCTCATAGGGTTTCTAAGGCTGTAATCCTTATAGAAGCAGACTGCTATAGTGTTTTCTCTTACAAACTTGGTTGTGGGTTTGAACCTCTGACCTTTTGATTAGCAACCTAGTGATTAGCCAGTTCTGTTCTGTAACAGCCCTTTAATTGATCTCATTAAATCCAGTCTGGGTTGCAAAGTTTTCAATTTCACGTCATAATAAATTTACATGTAGCAACAGATTTACATTATAGCAACATATTTATATTACAGCAACCTGTTTACATAATGTAGTCATTATGAATGACTTCTAAAATAGAATGAGGATAATTGCCTGTGTGAAGCAGAGGGAGAGATCATTTAGGAAAGGGTAATTTAATTTTGGGTTTTGTTTCCCCAGGCAATGTGGTAACTTTGGCTGCCTGGGCAATCAGGTGATGAATTATCAGACAGTACAGTTTCACTATGAGCCCCTCTAGCTCTCTCTTTCTCTATTGAGAATCAAATATTCTTCTTTTAAACCTACTGTTGTCTTTGTCTTTAACCCCAGAAAGGGAGTTTTGGACCTTTGCAGCCTGTGATGACAGAAGGCCTGGCCCATCTTGCCCTGTTTCCATTGGATAACTATTTATCAGACCCAGAGTGCAGGCTTTGATTAATCTTTGAACTGAAACAGATCATATGGTAAAGCATCTTGGAACTGGAGTAAAACAAGAGTGGAAAATTTATGCTGGGCAAGTTGCTGCCTCTCCCTGCTATATACACTCAATTTCAAGTTAATTGCTGCTCTTAGGTATTGCTTGCTAAACTTCCATTTTTTGTTATTCTACTTTCCCCTGTTTTTTGCCAAGTGGTGATGAAATTTGGACATGGAAGTAAGAGACAAGATCCTAGGTGCTGCTGACATGGGTTGCAAAAAAAGCCTTATTTAAGATCCTGTTAGGGATCACTTCTTAGGTGATAAGGTTAAAGAAAGGAAGAAAGATTGGGACTACAGTTTGTCTGAAAAGTAACCCGGAAGAAGTTGGAAGTCACAGACCTCAAATAGATGCAACCAAAATCTAGTTTTAATTTATGCTGAGTCAATTTAGATTCTTAGTAACCCCATGTGACAAAGAAAGACCCCACAAGATTTTCTAGGCTATAACTTTTTTAAAAAATTAATTTCAATGAACATTTGCAAAAATTTGGGATTTCCATTCACTCATTGTTGCACTTTTCTCTCTGCCCACCCCACCACCACCCTCAGTTTACTCTTCTCCTTGAAAAGCAAAAGAAAAACTTCTTCATTGGTAAACAATCCCCACACACACCCCCACCCCCATCCCAAGTATACTCCACTCTGCAACCCTCATTCCAAACTCTTATGATAATCATAATGCCCTAAAATATATTACTTTTAAACTGTTTTCTCCCTCATTGGCTTCAATGCAGTAAACATAATTTATCCAGTTTTTCTCAGTCTTACCCCCACCCTGATGTCAGCCTCACTCTACAACAGTATTTGTTCTTTTGTGACTGAGATATTTCACTCAGCATAATGCCCTCCAGGGTCACCCATTTTGATTAATATTGCATAAGTTCCTTGTTTTTCAATGTAGCATAGTATTCCATTGTGTGAATATACCACAGCTTCTCTATCCATTCGTTTGTTGATAGGCACTTAGGTTGTTTCCAACTCCTTGCTATTATGAACAAAGCTATGATAAACATAGGTGTGCATACATCTGCATGGGTGGAAGTTATGGTTTCTTTGGGGTATATTCCCAGTAATGGAATTGCTGGGTCAAATGGTATCTCTATTTCCAACTTTTTGAGAAAGTGCCATACCACCTTCTACAGTGGTTGCACCATTTTACACTCCCACCAACAGTGAATAAAGGTTCCAGTTTCTCCACAACCTCGCCAGCATTTCTTTCTTGCTGTTCTGTTAAATTTTGCTAGTCTTACTGGGTTGAGATGATATCTCATAGTTGTCTTGATTTGCATCTCTCTCAGAGCTAGGGATTTTGAGCATTTCTTCAAGTGCTTGTTGGCCATCTGAATGCCTTCTTTGGTGAAGTGTCTGTTCATATCCTGTGCCCATTTTTCTGTTGTATTATTTGTCTTTATCTTGTTGTGGTGCTCAAGTATTTTATAAATGCTAGATATAAGTCCCTTATCTGGTATGTCATTACCAAACACTTTTTCCCAGTCTGTGGCTTCCCTTTTTACCCTGTTGGAGAAGTTTCTGGATGCGCATAGGGATTTGATTCTTAGAAGGTCCCATTCATCTATTTTATCTTAACTTTTATAGGAGAAGATTGCCAGTTTTTCTCCTGTGAGCAAGATGGTAGGCATACCACTTTACATCTAGCAGCTGAGTGCTTAACCATTGTGCTACCAGAGCTACTAAAATTGGACCAACAATTAGGAAACTAGGTCATGCCAAGAACTAAGGATGTGATCAGGAACAAGGAATTTGTCATGTTTGCTCTGTTTATGTTGACTCAAATACTTTTTAGGTCAAAAATGCTGAGTCTGAGACCAGTCAATTCTGCTTTTGTGACACTGGTCATAATCTTGTCATTATCAGAGTCCTTAAAGTCTTCAAAGTCTGTAGTTAGGGCCCTCTCTACATTATTGAGGAGTAATGATACAGTTTGAGGACTAAGGTGAGTCTGACTTAGGCTATGTTCTTTTCAAGCACTTGCTTTGCATCTGAGAGCTGGACAATCTCATTTAAAAATACTTTAATTACCATGAAAAGAAACTCTCTATTCTTCCTACTACCTATCTCACCATCCCTAGTCCTGGAACCATGAATTACTTTTGACTCTTTGGATTTGTGTATATGAGACCTTTTTTGTTTGTTTGTTTGTTTGTTTTTGTCTCTTTGAAGCAGTCTAATATTTTATTCTTTTTTTTAAATTGAGATTTTAATCGAAGTTTCAAGAACATGGGTTTCCAATTATTCATTGTTACACATTTCCCTCCCTTCCCCCACTCACCCCGATTGCTTTTTTCATTGGGAAAAAAGTTCTTCCGTTGTTATACAGACCAACTCCGCCACCCCAGACCAGTTACTATGCAGCTCTCATTCTGGACTCTTGTCATACCAGTAATACTAATCATATATTCCTTTTATACAGTTTTATATCCTTCGATATATCCTTTCAATGCCATGCAGATTATTTATCCCCTCTTTTTTTTTCTTTTCCCCCCCTTTTTAAAAAAATAATTTTAATGAGCATTTACAGAGATTTTGGATTTCCATTCATTGATTGCTGCACTTCTCTCCCCACCCAGCCCTCCGCAACCCCAGTTCGCTCCTCTCTTTCAAAAGTAAAAGAAACACTTCCTCCCTGGTACATAATTCCCCCCTCTCCCCGCACCCATCCCACCGCCCCAAGTACATTCCACTATGCTA